CCCCCCCCTGCCCCTTTTGTCCACTCAATCCCTCCTGTACAGGGTATAGCCTTCTATCCCTGTCGTCCAGTCATGGGTGGAGTCCCACCAGGTCTCAGTTATTCCTATGACATCATAGTTATTTGCATTTAGCAGGAGGACAAGTTCCTCCTGTTTATTCCCCAGGCTCCTGGCATTTGTGTAAAGGCAGGCAAGTGTCCTCTTGGGGGCCCTAGCCTTGACTACAGTTCATTTCGGAGCTGGGGCAGGGGTGGGTTCCCTTAAGTGCCTTGGCCTGCTGGCTTTGCAAGTGTTGCTCAGCAGGCCAGCAGTGGCAGAAGTCCCCCCATCCCCCAGCGAGCTTAGTTTAAAGCCTGGTGTAGCAGGTCAGCCAGTCTGGCTGAGAAGAGCCTCTTCCCCAGTGGTAAGAGGTGGAGGCCATCCCTTCCCAGCAGCTCCCTGCCTCTCTCACCAAAGAGCGGACTGTGGTCATGGAAGCCAAAGCCTTTCTGATGACACCAGCACTGCAGTCCTTGGTTCACTACCTGGATCCTCCTCTCCCTCCTCTACCCATAGCCCAAGACTGGGAGGATCGAAGAAAACAATACCTGTGCCCCCAGACCCTTTAGCCCCACTCCCAAATCCCTGTAGCACTTCATGACCCAGCTGGGAACACTCCAAGCCATGTCATCGGTGCCCACATGGATAAGGAGCATGGGGTAGTGGTCAGTGAACTGGGGGAGCTGAGGGATCTTATCCTCAGTGTCTCGGATACAGGCTCCTGAGAAGCAGCAAACTTCCCGGGCTAAGGGGTTGGGGCAGCAGATTACCCCTCAGTCCCCCTCATGATGGAGTCTCCCACAACAAACACTTTTTGATTTGTCTTGCGGAGATTAGGGGTGGTAGCTATAGGAGAGCCTGTGTTGCCTGCAGGAGACTATTTTTCTGATTGTTTGTCACCATTTATAATTGCTTGTCACCACAATATTTTGTATTTTGTACTTTATGGTTATGGTATATTTGAATAAGATCCCAATTCAGCAAAGCATCTGGTCGAAGTCAATAGGGACAAGTACATAGTTATAATAAGGCACATGCTAAAGGGCTCTGCTGAGATGGAGCCTTCTTTACATTCTCTCTCAGTGCTAACTGTACCATGCTTCTTGAACTTTATCTAAGTGCTGCATACAGTATTTGTCAGATTCATTTTTTTTTGTTTGCATTTTGGCTTTTTGAAATGTCAGGATCAGGCTTATACTAATGAAATCTCCAAATTCCAACCAAGCTCTGAACATAGCTACTAATCCTAAGAGATGTTTACTTTCTGCCTCTCTGGCTATATATAGTAACAAAATGTCTGATGACAAACTTCACCCCATTGTTAATCAATCCTATAAATGTTATTGAATTGAAAAGGGTTTAAAATGAACTAATTAAATTTCATTATAAATGTATATATCCTCTGATTTAAGTGTGACTTTACTAAGGGCTCTTACCTATGAGGGCTTGAAAGCTTCTCAAGAATTTATAACTATCAGATGCAACACAGCTGCTGAATGCTGTATCAAGGCCCTGCAGATGATGGTTGGTTATCCCTTTCTGCATAGATTTTGGTCAGAGGAACTGGGTAAATTTCTCTTTAGCCTTGAGACTGTTTTGTATGAAATTCTGAGTAAATGTGTTTCATTGCCCTTGCTACAGAATGTGTCTGTTATGGAGCATGTTTAAGGAAATCGTGGGCTGAACTGATGCTAGTATTCTATTCTATTCTGTTGTCATCAGTGGATACGACACCTGGTTGTCTCTCTCTCTCAGACTGGAAGGTAAGTATTACTACTTTTAGAGTAAATCTCTGGCGCTAAGTACCGACAATAGAAAAAGCCTGAGGCTGAATAGATTCAATTGATTCATTTTTTGCAGGCTAGTCTGAGCTGTGTAGATTGAATCAACAAGCAAGTAAACAGACATTCACTTTTGGTTCTGGAAATGCCCCACATGCTTGCAGTGGCTTAGGCCAGAAGCTGGGGGGTACTAGAGCATGCCTCCCTTGTCTGCTGGATCAGACAGTTTGAGCTGAGGTGGGGGGCGGTTTGCTGGGGAGGTGCAAAGCATCCTGGGATGCTGGGGGGCACTGAATTAACTTGAATCTGGAGGGGATCTGGGACAGAAATTCAAGAAACCAGTTTTACCTAAATCAGTTAAGTCTGATACTACATCCATCCAGGTTTATCTTAAACTGGTTTCAGCTATTTTGAAAGCAGTTTATATACACTGAACTTCTGTTGGGCTACATATTTGAACCGGTTTCCAATCACTTATACCAGTTTGCATGTAATTTTGTTCCCTAGCCTGGATGATCTAGGTGGTATGTCCCCACCTCCCTCCCCATTGATTTATTTACCCCTAACCAAGGTTATAGGATTTACAGCATCCATGTCCTTTATACTACAAGAACAGTGGAAGCCTAGGTATCCTAGATAGCCAAGAAAGATAGATATTTATGACAGTATTCTGAGCTACAAGCTGTCCTTTAGAAAAGAAACTGTCTGTGGTGATTTTGAATCATCTTGGCTAGCTTGATTTATTATATGAAACTTCTATTATTAATTACAGCTACTGTAGAACCCAGTACAGTAATCCATGGATTTCTGTCCTCAGCATCTACTCATACTTTTCCCTTGCATTGGTTACTGATAGACCTACAATTGTGGTTAAATTTCTTGCTAGTAACATGTAACCTTGAAAGTCGCATGAGATCTAAACACTCACAAGAAGCACAATTGCAGCTGCTATGTCAGGGTTTCTATACATGTAGATATTTGAGGCCTCTTACTATAGTATTTGAGGAAGGGAAATAACTCCCTGTACAGTAAGTCAGGGAGATTAAAATTACTTTCCCTAGAAGCTTGTGGTAGTGCCAGAAACAGAATCAGAGATTTGTAGACCTCAGGCTAGTGCCTTTATTCACAAGCCCTTCAAATTTAACACAGTCCTATGGCACATCCTATAAGATCTTATTCATCAGGAGTCTGCTACTGGTGAATTCTTATCCTGTACATAAACTTAACAGTGCCATGCTTCAAAGCTTGAGAATGGTTTCCTTTATTTTAGTATTTAACCTTCTTGTCCTAGCTGGTTCCCACACAGCCACTTAGATGTATTACCCAGTTATTGTAAACTGCTTTTAGCTGCTTCTTAAAAGCACCCTGAGGCATAAGGGTGCCTAGAAATTAATTTATTCTCTGCCTGCCCATCAAGCAGATGTGCATATATTGAGTTAGCATGTCTAGTGCTTGGCTGATTCTTTCCAGTGGATAGTGGAACCATTACTACATTTTAAACCCATTTGTGTCCTTTTCCTTTTACTACTATCCTTTGAGTTTTTAGTTGCTGTATTCACCCATACGTGTGCTGTGCAGGTGTGTAAATCCATAGTCTCTATGCTAGTGTTGTTGTTTTACATCACAGCATTCTAAGAGATTGCAAAAGCCATTCTAAGCATTTGAAGACACTGAATGGACAACAGCTTTTATTCCAGTGTATTTATTCTCCCAACCTATCTTACCTTAGTTTTCTGGGTAATGCCTTCTTCATCATAATGCTCAAATTCATTGATCATTTTAAAAATTGCCTTTCCTAAAGAATTTCATTCAATTTGCATAAAATACATACGAAGTAATCTATAACCAGGTTAGGCTGAAACAAAGCATATTGGGGTGAGACTTTTTTATTTTTAAACCACAGGTAGGGCCTAAGGATAGAAGGGCAAGCCAAAATCTGTAACATCAGTAATGTACTTAAACAAAACTGCATGCTACTAGTCAAATGAATGCACTGGGGAAGTAGGCTTTTATGGTACTTACATGCACATAAGAACATAGCATACTAATATCATGGATCATCTCGTCACTGATACCTTTGACTGGTCTTAGGTGTTCTGGGGTGAGACAAAGCACTTTCCTAAAGTTCAGCTTGCACATGTAAGTTAAGGCTGTGAATGAAAATCATAATTCATATATAGACTCCTTTTTACCATCCATGAATTGGCCTTGTTTACTGCCCATGGACAAATGGGCATCTCAAAGGCTCCAAAGTGGTAAATGAAAAATCCCTTTTCATTTGTGCCATATTTTTTTTCTTCCAAGACAGTTGGCAGAAAAAAAATCTATGCCACTACCTGGGAAAGAAGTGACCATATCCTATCTCTCTAGCCTATGGTATGTAAAAGCACTAAGAATGTCAGTTTCAACTTATACCATCCCATATCATGCTAAAACATTTGAATGGATGACTTCCTGGAAATGCCCAGTAGACCAGTTTTAACAGTAGTCAGCATGTCTTTTCTCCACTAATAATATAGTATGTCATAGATTGTTATAGAGATGTAAGGCTGGAAGGGACCTTAAGAGATCATATACAAATAACACTCTTTTAAAAAAATATTTATTTAAAGGATACATAACATATGGCAAATTACAGTATTCCAGAAATAAACAGGGAAAATTAAACATATTAATGCACCATAAATAGGACATTGCAATCAGTTGTCCAAAAGTCAGAAGCCACTACTGCTCCTAAACATTTAATTAGCAGGACATGTCTTTTGTTGATGTTTGCACTACACAGTCCAGACTTTTCAGATTATATTCCTAAGCCTCTTGTTCATCTCCTAGCAGGAATTTTCTTACCATTTTCCCCTTGGAATCAAAGTAGTTATGCAAGTAACTCTTTCAAAGGTTTAGGATTCAGAATATAAACCTATTACAGATTTATGACAGTAAAGATACAGAGGCAAAAAACCTGGTTCTTAAAATCACATATGCAGAATAAGGGTCTGAGGCAAAGCATTCTGAAATCAACTGAAATCTATCCATCGACTTCAGTGGGCCTGACTCAAATGCCAAACAAGCACAGTAAGTAATGGCATAGTAATGCAAGTGCCATTTCTAAAAACATATTTTACAGTGGGGTTCTAACTATGGGAACCATGGCTTGACAATGCAGATAATATTTATCTGGCAAGATAAAGCTTGCCAGAAGGGTAGTTGTGATCCTCTATTGAGAGAATTTTCACTCAAATATTCATTGAAGTCTAGTGTCCATTAGAAATAAATGTTTTCTTATTTACCTGGTATTTTCTCATATGGAATTTGAGTCATTATTTAAAAAGGACTGTTTTTTTTCACTTTCCCATTCAAATAATTATCTGCTAACTTTAAACCCTAATTAAATTTTCATGGTTACAAATACAGTTTATTCTATCTTTAGTAGGCTTTGTTGATTCCAGTCTGTGAATCACCATATATTATAAAGTTATTTGAACTTTCACAGCAGGTTAAGGAAGGTCCCAGAACAGCTGATAAGCAATAGCAGCTTTGGCACCAATTTGTCTTGGATTTTTATATCTGATATTATTTTGAAACTTCAGTAATGGGCTTGGGTATAAGCAAAAAGAGACTGGCATTTTTACTGAAATGTTCTATGGTTTATAGTTCTTCAGGTACTTCCACTAATGGCTTCCTCATCTTTCAAAAAGGTTACTTTTCCTCCTCAGTAGTCAGTAAGCTAACCTAATAATATCTGCTACCTTTCGAAGGCTTTACTTGGAACACAGCAGGCAACATTTTTAGTCCTGAGATACTGATACCAGGGATCAAGTGGCTACAGTATTTATTTTACTTTGATCTGGTATTATTATAAAATATACCTAGGTGGGAATCTTTTTACAGACAAAACTGTGTCAGAACACAACACATTTAAAAAACCCCATAAACTGACATTAAGGTAACAGTAAAAAAACAATAGTAAACAAAACCCAAAATGCTCAATAGAAAAAAAAAATCTTAAAAATCATCTCTTTCAATGTAAGTGCGAAGTTATCAGCATGTTTATACTCAGTCATCTTTTTTGTCTGAGGTGCTCAAGTTGTCACTTTCATAGCCTTCCGGACAGATTTGGTTTCTTGCAATTGGGGTTGTTTCTGACACTGGGGTTTTACTCTTTGCAACTGGTGTATGTTTTGCTTCTGAGGACTGATAGCTATCTTCCTCTGATGCATCCAGCTGGCACCTCTGTATTTCTAGGTATGTAGTAAATAATTTGGCATATTCTGGATGCTTGAGTGCGAAGTCTTTAAATTCATCTGAAAATAGAGACAGACACCGTAAAACATACTGTTTGGCAGGAATAACGCACAAGACTTTATTTTATCACTGACAATGGCCAATGACAAGATGCTTCAGAAGCAAGTGCAACATTGTCCAGAACACATGATGTTGGAATTGCTACTTATATTACTACAGTCGTTAATACTTAATGTAAATCATAAGACCTGCATCTGTAATGAGCCTACTATGGCAGTTAGAATGACCACAAACTGCACTACTCTAAAAAACAAAAGTGTAAAACCTGCTGTATCAAACAGTTTCCCATAAAACCCACAATTAAAGTAGAACAGAAGTAGAAGGGGAAGAGAAAAATAAATGAATATTGCTGTGATTATTCAAGGTTAGGACAGAAGAAGTTAGTCCTTTGGCTGCTTTTGGTGGTGATCTTTCTATAAGAAGCTCCACTGTTATATGGTATAGAAACCAATGACAGTGAGAGTGCATGTTCTCTTAATGAGAAATATATTAATACATCCCTTTGGTCCATGCCCCAACATATATATATTCCTGCTTTTAACAATGTAAGAGTGGCCTATAATCCTCAAAAAATCAGAAATCAATACATTTCAGAGTATCAATCTTAAAGCTCTGCGTTGATAGCAAGTGTATTAGTTTTATGTAAATACTTACTATAGGAGAGTTTTCTAGTTTCATCTGCATCTATTTCCTTGAAGAGTTTAGATACATCAAGGTCAGGCACTCCCAAAGATGACCGCAGAATACAAGCAAACTCATCTTCTGTTATAATGCCATCATCATCCATGTCAAAAAGCTGAAGACGGGGGAGAGAGAAAGAGAAAACAGATTTACAGAAACACCCTTGTGGTAGTGTCCCTGTGTGAAAGTACAGTACTTTCAAATAAAATCAGCCTCTGAGAACCTACAAGATGGTCCTTGCCATTCAAGAATGGCACAGTGATTGTCATGGTGATTTGACAAGACTAGAGTCCTACTATCTGTAAACAGGAAGGCAGGCAGGAAGAGTTAAAAGTTTGGAGGCCTGAAGTTCTGTGAAATGTAGCAGCATATAGCAGAACATTTGGGATCTATTCAAGAATATCTGGAGATGGATGGAATTAGTACAGCCTGCACATAGGGTGGTATGACCAAGCCTGAAACCATACATGCGTAGGGGAGTTAATTAATCAGTAAGTTGTAAAGGTGCATGGCACCACATATGATTGATCATGAGGAAAGCAGGTAGAAAGATACAACCAAAACTGGGTCCAATATACGTAAAGACTAAATATAATTAATCAGAAATTAGTAATATGCTATGAAGTATCCCTGATACAAGCACTTCTAGAGAGAGAGAGAGAGAACGTAGAATTAAAATATACTTTAGATTTGTGTTTAAACCTGCAGTATCACTGCTGTTGAACAGTCTGATCATCTGACTGACAGTATGAATAAAGGCTATACCGAGTTTATACTCACTGAATAGCTACTGCATATTTATTTGAATAGTGTTGCAGTAGGACTTAACAGGTCCCTGGGTGGTACTGTTTTCCACCAGTTTCTATCACAAATAATGAACCCCATTTTTCCTGTAGGATAAGGTGAGACAGTTGCATGAAAATACTGGATTTTCAAAAGGATGCATGGTGGACAAATGCCTAAACTGGATTTAAGACTGCTCTACTGGAGAATGCATTCAGCAACCTTTAATGGAAAATACCACTGAATTAGCTTCTTCAAAAAAAAAAAAAAGGGCCTAGACTTTTGTTTCTCATCAAAAAAAGCTACATTGAAAATGGAAGTAACATTCTATAAACATGTTCCATGTCTCACACTAAAATGTGCTCCCAGGGGCACTAGTCTTGTTACTTTTTCCAAGTGAAATGCCTTGATGAGACCTGCTGAACTTGCAACCATTTCTGGTAGGATATTATGTAGTCTGACAGAGGAAAAAACAAAACAAAAAAATCCCCAAAGCCATACACACACAAATGACAGGGTGATGTGTCATTTGCGAGGAATGTCAGAGACTTTGGGTGGTGTGGATGGTAATGCAAAAGGACTGTTCCATTCTTTCTGGCATGATTGTGCTGAGGAGCTACACTAAAATCACCCACCTGGGAAATGCATTAGAATCAGAAATTAAAGGAAGAATGGCTTTAATCCTGAACAAAACGTTGCCACGGATAACATCATGGTGTCCAGGTGGGACCACTGCAAATTAAACTCTCTTCAGTGGAAGGCAATAGAAGAAAATGTACTGCAGTCAAAATAGGTCCTTAGTGAAGAGAACAGAGTATTTTCTACTGAGGACAGTAATAATCTCCCAGTTATGTACTTTAAAGTAAATGCAATTGTTAATGGACTATTGCTAATTGCTTTGGTTTGAAAACCAAAGACAAAGTGTTGTTTTAGTTTTGCTTCAGACAATCTTGAGCAACAGAACAACTCTGAGAAGTACAGCTTAGTTACTGGAATATGGCTGAAGGAGCTAATTTGCTGGAATACTCTATTAATATACAGAAGCAATAGATACAACAATTTTAACACAGAAAAAAATACTGGCTCTTTGAGTGAACACAGGTATTTCTTATGAGAATCCTGTTCAGAGTGAAAGTACGTCAAGTTCCAGTGTACTGCTAATATGTAAACAGCTGAACTGCAGACGTAACAGATGGACACTGGAACCTGTGTGTCTATGATCTTAAAAAACAACAGACAAAACGGCCTGATAACCGTGTTTGGATTTACCAGCCTTGCTCAGCAATATCATTTGGTTTTGAGAACAGCTAAAACAAGGTAGAGCTGATACACTGAAGCCATACTGGACTATAAACCTCTGTATCACTCAGTCTTCGGGCACACAAATAAGATACCACCAAGTAACCTTGGGGTACCACCTTATGTTAACTTGCTTTTGTGCCCAACCCTTCATTTGCTACCCTAGAACATCGGCAAAAAACACTTTGGAAAAAAATGCAGTTACTGCTGACTCATTCTTGTAGTTAGCCAGTTTTCAGTGGATTCCTTGACACCATTGTGGTTTCTGAAGAGTTCTCCAAGATTGACAGCTTCTTTCTTTTTCTGCTCTAAATGTCAATTGGTTTGATAGCATTACTCACATTTGCATGACAGATTGAATCTATAAATTCATCTTTGGATTTAGAAGATAACAGATTTACAGTCAGTCTTGATTTGTCAGGTTTCCAGTCCTGTGCTAAATCAAACTTACCTTAAATGCCATCTGAATAGTCTCTTCTGTGTTGGCAGGGTTACAAATAACAGACAAACCAATCACATATTCTCTGAAATCTATAGTGCCATCTCCATTCTGTAACCAACAAGGCAGATAGAAATAGTTGAAATTAAAAGGCCCATTGTATAATTCAGCTATGCAATATGTAATAAAGCTTAGTTTAGTGTTTTTTTCCAGAAAAAATAAAAATAGTAAATTTGTACGATATAAAAAAAAAAAAAGATCTTCAATAGTGTACTTTGGAAAACCATCTCTACAGATACAAAATAGGAACCAAAATTCAATTTTTAAGTGCCAGGTCACAAAAGGATTACCAACTAAGAATACACGGGTTTATTAGCAGGTTATCAACTGAAATTATTTTTCAGTATCAAAAAGGGGACTTCCTCAAAATAAATGCAACAGTCAATATACTTCTGGCATTTGCCATCCTTTGAAGACCAATGCAATGCCTTTGAACAGGGAATCAAAAGAGTAAGAGCATTGCTCTTTCAAGCTAATTGTTTCCTGGAAGTTTTCAGCAAGCACAAAATAGTCAAGAAGTTAGTCCCCTTTCATTACCATGGTCTGAAGTAGGTTCTATATTTTATATCATGAGCTGAACTATAGAGATACTGAAATTAAAAGATAAGGTTCTATTTTATATTTGCAATTTTGGTCTACAATCATTCAGAATGATGCTATTATTAATTTACTTATTCATCAGAGGTCCTCTAAATATTCTTACTGCACACAGGACTATAGACTATATCACCAAGTAAAGAACTGCTTGCAGTTTCACTGTACCTATTATTTCCAGAAGTTTATAATGGAATGACTTTAACTTCAGTATGACTTGGTTATTTTTAAAGTTGATTTAAGAAAGATTCAAAGGTGAAGAGTATGAACTAAAGAACTGTCAGGTTATGGAAAGGAAAATACTGTAAACCTATTTTAAAGTAAATATAGACCAAGTTGAAAAAAAAGGAATCAGAAATGGTTCATAAAAAAAATGGTTCATAAAGGGATTAATGCTTTAATTAATGGTGAACGACAGTGTTAATAGGTCATAAATTATTTCTAGCCATGTGCAAACATACAAGAATTAAAATTCTTTGCAATTAGAAACATCTGATTCTAACCATTTGAAGTGTACGTAAATACAATTAATTTTTTTTCTTGCGACTTTGTCATACTAACCCCTATGATGCTGTATAATTTCCAGGTGTTTTGGCGTTTTGTTGGTGACAGGAAAACAGGAAAATTATTGTTTAGGAAACTAAAAGGAGCCGAAAATACAAGAGGTGTATGGCTGCTGACCAGGAGAGGGCCAAGAAGAAAAGGTGCATTTGGATAATAACAGTCAGCATCGTTGCTAATAAGTACAAATTAGCAACCTCCTTTTTTACATCTGAGATTAATTTTGCATGTCATGGTAGAAAGCAGAAACTCTACCTAAACTGTTCCTAGAGCGGACTTTTGCACCAAACCTCAAATGCGTAAATAGCAAATTATGACATTTAACAGATGCAAAATAAATCAAATTTCATCTGTGCTGCTTTTAAACCAAACTTTTTCATTCCACTGATGCTGCCATTTTCAGCATATAGTATTCTATATTCAAAAAGCATTTTCCATATTTGGATTACAGGCATGAGTGAAAATACATCCATGGTTAATCTTGGACATGAGGGAAAGTGAATCTTTTACCAACACACATGATCTCCTTAGAATTCTATTACGGGGTAGAATCATTTCATTGGCAGACATGCATGTGGCACTGGGTGGGAAGTTTAAGGTGCCACTGTACCTGTATTGTGTATTATATGAAGGTGTTATAGCTAAAGGGAAAATCGTCCTTGTTATTTCTAGCTTGAAAAAATGTTTCATGCTTGTCAAAGGTAAATCATTATTAGTCACATATGTTGCAACAGAGAGAAGCTCCTGCTGGATTCATCAAGAGAAGACTTGCCATTACCTGCCTTACTTTCATAAGATAATCATGCAAGAGGTTGTTTGTTGCATTTTCTTTCCTGCCCCTTCCCACACCTGAGATCTGATTGGCCTGAAGGAGATAAATTCTGAAGCAAAAAGCAATGTGGCGATAAAAGGTGTACTCTCTCATACTCCGTCTTCTAACTTCTAGCCATCATGCTTCCTAAGGTAACAGCAGGATACTCAGATGTATGATTTATAGAAAAAAAAATACATGCCATTGGTATGGAATTAGCCTATTCTATCAGTCTGGACAAATTAAAATATTTTTAAGTCACTGTGTTTCAGCCTGCAATATATACTACACAGGGGAAAAAAAAACTGAATTAGTGATTTAAATAATTTTGGGTCCCAAATAGCAAAGTCATGTCATCTAGTGATGTGACCTCAGTGATTTGCACAGCTACTTACAGTAAACCAAAACTTACTCCAGTTCATCATCAGAAGTCCTACTGCTATACTGTTGTTTTCAAATTAGCTGCGTACGGTCTTTCCTCAGAAGGGATGGAAATGTGATTTTTTGTAATCAGAGATAGAAAACGGGCCATGTACATTAGCCAGCCTGTTCAACTCATTTTTCCCATCTCATTCAGCTAACACATACACAGATTTTTTTTCTGTAGCGTGGCAAAACCCAATAGAGAAATCTTGCCTGTTTCAAGGCAGTACAAGATATAACAAGAGCTGGCAAATGTTAAACAGGCAACGCCTCTGTAAAAAAATTCTGTTTTAAAACAGCTAAAGACACTCTGAACTGAAGAAACACACCAACAGTTCATGCTGTTTCTTGTCTTCTAACTCAAGGGCAAGAATCTTTCCTCTAACAGGAATGGAAATAACCTAGTTGGAGAGAGTGTGGGTCATATTAATTCTGGTAAAATTCAGTTTCAGTGGAGATAAAAATCAGGCTGACTGGCTCACTGTACTACACATTTGCTATATATTTATGATATAAATATTCATTACAAGGCTTCAGGAAAAAAACACTACCATGAGGTTCCTAGGAATCATGTTTCATTCCAGCAGGAAATAATGAGGCAGCAATTTATTGCTAATAATCAATGGATTTTCATTATCATAACAACACAAATCACTCACACAAATCACTCTTCCTTCCTACAAATAACTTCTTACAAATGAGAAAGTTAGTTCACCTGTATTTGGTAGCAATATCTGGCAGGATGGAAATATTTTCTGTTTCCAGCAAAATATGCAATTATAAACATATAAAAATTATGACACATAAATAAAAGACTTATGTACTTTGATAGCAATAAAACTTAGTCTGGCATACAGATAAGTGCTGTGAAAACAAGGAAAAAAGCTATGGTTAGTCAACAGAGGTCAAAGTCGAAATCTGCAGAATGCAGATCAAGTAGTGGCTCATTTCAGTGTTCTCTCTTAGGAGTACATGGTCATCTGCAGCCACTCTTCAATGTTCATTTTGATCTGTCCATTTCCATCTCAATCCAGGGACTTGAAGGCACGGAACATGGCATCTACCCGCACCAGGCAGCTGATAAAATTATTGAAATCCATACTCCCATTCTCATCTGAGTATCTATGAATGATCAACTGGTAAAGCTGTTCATGCAGCTGAAATCCTGCAGCCTTCAAGGCATCTGGCATCTGAACTCTCCCAACAGTCCCAGACTGGTCAGTGTCAAACTGTTTGTAAACACATTGCCACTTCTTGATGTTGTTCCACAAATACTTGAATTCCTCAAAGTCCAGTTTGCCTGTTGTGTCACTGTCCATGACTGCCACCATGCTCTGGCAAGTGTCCAAGCTGAAGCCCTCTGTTTTCAGGTCTTGATGCCTAGCAACAACCTTGTTCAGTATATTCATTAGCTCCGTGGCACAGACCTCCATGTCATCTCCAGCTAGCTGGGCAAAGAGTCGACAAAACTGACTGACCTCTTCACTCTCGCCAGCTTCCACATTCCTAAAATGGCTGTGAGGAGGAGGTGGCGGCTCTGGAGTATACTGAGCTGCTGCTTCACTGATGAGGTTCACAAGTCCTCCAACAAGCCCTCCAAGATTCCCTGCTCCTTGTCCACCGCCTCCTAGCAGACCCCCAAGGCCACATAAAAGGTCCCCTCCACCACCACCTCCTCCACCTAGTAAAGCTTTAGCAAGGAACATGTCAGTGGTTCAAACTTATTGGGAGATTATCCAGGTGAGAGCAGAAAATCCTGCTCCCTCTGACAGCTGTAAACGAGTCTGTACTGGGTGTAGGCAGACTAGAGTTTACATGTCTAAGATTAGAACTTGCCATGCCCATGCATGTCTCTTAGAGCTTTTAAATTGCCTGAATTCCCTCAGGTATGAGCAGCTGCCCCCAGTTTCTAACAAGCCACAAAATGTTTATCTCCCCAGAACCAGTTTTCTTCTTTTATTTTGCAAAATCAGATGCATTTTCTTTGATGTAAAATTGTTTTATAGGGACTGAAAACCATACTGCAGGTATTTCAACATTTCCTGGGAGATCTTTAAGTAGAGCATTTGCAGTATAAGTACTACAACACTAGAACAACCTGTAGTCAAGGTCAGTCTAAATTCTAACTCTGAAGGCGTGCAGTTTAGGTTACTGGCACTGTATCTGTATCTCCACTGTCCCTGCCTGGTATGCCTTTGACCTTGTCATTGAGTTTAGTCCTGCACTGAGAATATGAGACACTAAAGTTCTTCATCCAGATAAAGGCTGTATGGCCATCAGCAATATAAGATTCCCAGTGAGATCTGCCAGTGGACCTTGGCTGTCATCTAGGATAGCCACAACCAAAACATTACTGGAAAGTTTTATATGAGACAAAACATACCCATAGCCTCTCTGCTCAGACTGAAAATAAGAGTCCATTGTGATGCCCATTTCCCCTGCCAACATTTTAAATAGAATGTTAGCAACATATTCCCATATCCTCCAATGCAATAAATACTTACCCTATCAAAAAGTAAGAACAGCTCTCTGAGAACATCTGAAACAGGCAGCTTCAAGTAGTCTGAAAACTCCTCAATTCCAATTCTCCCACCTTTGGAGGCACCTGCAATAGCAGCATATGTATCCAACTGGTCCCTGATATGATCCCATTTTAGACTATAAAAAAAAAGGGGCGCATAATTAATTCACCTGCAACAAATCTTACAATAGGTAGAATTTTATCAGCAATAAAGTAATGTGCAGTTTTCTAAATAGAACACTGCATAGAGCAGGGGTAGACTAACCCCTGAATGCATGCCATGGCACGCAAAAACATTTTGGCGCTTGCATCTCTGGAAGGGGCCAAGGCTGTGCTGCCACAACAAGGATCAGGCCCCTCATGGCTCCCCTGCCATTCACCACTGGCATACCAACATCTTGTAAGTCAAGGTCTCAGGTATTTTTGGCACTCTGACCAAAAATGTTGCCAACCTCTGGGTTAGAGTAAGAAAGCCATTGAAAATACCATGCTTCTGATCTGATGATTCAAACTGAAATGGAATTAGCCTTCCACCCTACAAATGTCATCCCTTTTCAGGGAAAATATCTTTTCATGGACCAACTGCATGATTGGGATAGACTTAGACAAGCTTTTGAACACAATGGAATGGATTTTATTTGAGAGCTTTTGTATTTAAGACCTTTTCTAAGTCTCTCTCATCCATGCAGTTGGTCCAGTAAGAGATCACCCACAGAAATCCTTGCCTCTTGTGTTGGCTACAAAGGACCAACTCACAGGATCATAATAAATTCTAGTTTATTGGATGGGTTGTGAAGTTACCAATAAAATCATAAATGCAAACTTTGAGTTATGGGTGGTACCGCTCACCTTAGCATATACACACACACACATACACTCACTCATTCAAACCCCTGTAGTATAGTGTCTAGTGGCTGCTCTAGGTGATAGTGAGCACTGGTGTCAGTATATCTACCTATCCAAGGCCCTGAATTCTGCTGTTGATGGTCAGCTTCCTTCAAGGCAATGTCTTCTCGAGAACGGGGTCGCTTGCTTGTCCTTCTGTCTTGGCAGGTCAGGTGCTGGATGAGAGGGCACCACTGAGGGTCATGCTTCCCTGCCTTTTATCTCTTTCTGGCAGACTTGTGTGATCCCCCAGCATCATCTTGGCTACCCAATCCAGAGGTTACTGTCCCATGTGGGTCTTGAGTAACACCTGACAGCTGTTAGTCACAGGGGTCTTTGCCTGCTGGTACCTGAAGTTTTGGGAGCACACCCTTGACTTATTGCCTTAATAGCTATATTGTCATGGGTTACAGGAATAGTCCATAGGGTGGGTGCTCAGTTCCAGGAATCAGTTCTTTAGCTTGATTAGCTTAAAATGGAGTTCCTTTGGCTAGGCTATTATCTACTGATGATCATCATTCACTCAACAGATTTTATCACTTTACAATTACAAATTTCAGTTTTAGCAATGGTTCAGGGTGTAACTTCATTCTACAGGGAGTACATTCCTTAAGAGTTTAAAAGTATCAAATATAAAATGCAAAATGCCATGGTATAGATGACAGATGAAATATGAAAATGCACTGTGAGAAGTATATAAAAATGCAATGTGAGTTAGTAAGGATCAAAGGCTACTGGGGGCGGTGAGTTAGGTTAGCACAGGATATTTACAGTCTTTGAAGTGGAAATTTTAATTCTTTTGTTTTCTTTAGGTGACACTGATCTTAATTGATATGCAGATGTAGTTTCTAGTTTTCTCCTACAGAAAGCCACTTCAGCTTTCTGGCTTGCTCCAAGCCTTGCCAAACCCAGGTCAGAAAGGAAATGTACAAAGGGGGCTTTCTGCTACACTTGCACATTTCTTGAGTCATCATGGCTACATGGCACTTGAACACAATCTTTTTTGTCAGGGTAATTGTTATCTCAATACAGTATCTAGCACGAGCACTAAGGCAGCATTTTGAATTCAATTATCCTTCACTGCTTCATGTCAAAGCATTAACATACTAACTTTCCAAATGGAAGAGAGAAAATCTGTAACTAACATTCAGGTAAAGTTTTGATATTAATACAATCTAGAAACTATCTTGTTTAGTTGGCAAAAGTTAAAGCATTCCACCCCAAAAGTAGGCCAGTGGCTAGGACATTAGTCTAGGGTTGGAGGAAGCTGGGTTCAATCCTCTGCTCTTTGACAGACTTTCAATATAACACACAGCAATTTCTCACTTGTATAGTGGGGTGCTGGGAGGGTACATTAAGGACCCCAAGGCACTCTGGGTATTTCTACACTGTGTCAATAGCACTCAGAGACAGATGCTCCCATACACATCCCAAACTCAGAAATGTGGTGGTGAAGATACTTTGGGTCTATCTTCCTCAGCCACTCTTGAAACCTCTTTGTCCAGTGTGCTTGAGAGTGCTTGCAGAAGAAGTCTCTGGCATATTTCTGAGTTTGGCTCACACAAGTGGTACCAGGTGGGCAGGGCAGACTTGGACTCTCTGTCCTCAAGAGCACTGGGATGCAGCATAGACATATCTTGACATGCTAGTGTAACAGGGCTAGTAGCTGGAGAACCTGACACCACTATGTTATACAGCTCTGCAATAATTAACGAACTACAAGAAGCAAAACTTTTCTTACTTTAACTTCTTGCTAATTTTGGTGAATTCTACCAGCCCAGCATCCATAGGTAAGGTCAGCTGTCCTGCTGAAATCATTAGTCTGCAGTCTTCAAAAGTGTGGTCTGTAGTTGGCACATTCAGGGCACTGAGCATAGCAGAACATACAAAAATATTAACAAAGCAATTTTTAAATGGATTTTTTTCTCTTCTCATCATGCCCTCAAATGCTGGATTTAACAATTCGTAAATGCCAAGATTTTCATTGTGGAAAGCTGGTTACTGGAACATTCTGTTCACATGTATAATCAGATTCAATCCAGAAATAGTACAAAAGCATCAAAAGAAATATTTGGAATTCTGCTCTCAATCATTTTCACCCAATAACCACAGCACAGAAATCTGTCAATCTTGTATGAAGGAGTCAACGATTTACTGCAGCTTGATTACTGATTACTATGTGCTTAACCAAATAGGAAATCCTGGTTACAGAACCCTTTATACCCCTTAGAGCTAACTGTAAGATTCAAATAATTGTCCTATGGTTCTGAAATGACCTAGGACTCCTTGAATTATTTTAAATCCCTGAACTATTTAACATATTTTTGAATTGGTGCCCAATATTTATATGCAAACTTTTTTGTTGTGCTGGAGTGTTATTTTAGAGACATACGTAGCCATGTTGTTACGGACTCTGTTGGCAAAAAGAACAGGATCCTTCTTCTCTTCTTCAGTAGGAATGTGGACAGGCAGAAACTGAAAGATACAATTGATTCTGTAAATCCATATAGTAACTAACGTCTTACTGACAGAATCCTATGAATCACAGGTGCTGACTTATTTTTGCAGGGGGAGGGGGAGAGGGGAAGGGCAGCTAAGACGATGGACATGTAGAAAATTTTACGAATTTTAGGTGACAACCCTCTTCTCGAGGGTCCCAGGGCCCTTGTGCCCACACATAAACTTTATGTAAACAAAAAGTTAAAATCGTCATTCCTGCAATTAAAGCAACAGCCACTAGAGGTCTCCACAGCCCTAAAAACAGGGGTGTTTTTCTTCCCCAAGAAGCCATTACATAGACCAGTGTTTCTCAATCTTTTAAGTAGCAAGTACCCCCTAACTTCTGAAAAATTTCAGAAGGATCCCAACACTCAATTTTTCAGGGGATTTTATATTTACAGACTAATGTGCGCCATATGTTGGAAAAAGGACTGTGTATATAAGGCCGTGATATGACAGATGTCTGATCTGGTGTGGGTAGGGTTACCACCTTTTACACCAGGGTGCACAACTCAGGTATGTACCTGGGCTAGAGGTGGTGATGGCCAAAGTTAGGAAGGATGAACCAAATTATTACTGGGGAATTTAAAGTGCTGCGCAATGTGCGGAGCACCAATTTTTTGCCATAGTTTTGAGGAAAAGAGGGTGAGAGAGAGAGAGAAAGTGTTGGGGTACCCACGTACCCCCTGCCTGTGTCTTGCGTACCCCCAGGGGTACATGTACCACAGGTTGAGAAACTATGACAGAGTATTAGATTTTTTCCACAGTTAAAACAAAGCTTGGTAAGATTTGTTGTAGCTGTTTCAATAAAAAAAGCAGAACGCAAAAGGAAAATGGGCTAAATATACACTTCATTAAAAAGTTGGACTCTAATAACGTTTTGATTTCACAGACCCAATTATATATTTCTGAAATATTAGTGCCCTTAATACATAAGCTCCTGGTATTAGACACAACTTAAATAAAACCTCTATTAATTTACTGGAAACACATCAATGCTGTAGTTAGTTTGTAAAAATGTGTCTCAGTATGTTATTACTCACTTGGTGAAAAACAATATTCAGAATTAGAGGCATGGCAAACAACTGCTAATGAATGTAAAAAGAGGAAAATAACTTTATAAATGGGATGAAGTATAACATGTTCAAATTCCAAAGTTGGTAAACAGAATAAATACATGAATGGTAACAGGTTCTGGATAACCAAATGATTTTTTAAAAGTAAAATAGAGGATGATATGAATAAGATGCTTGTACAGAAAGTTCATATAGGTTGTTAAATCTCCTGAATCATGTCATTTACATAATTATTTGTATTTTGAGATATTGTAAATAAAGAAGAGTTTTGCTGTGAAATGATCTATCTTGGCATAAAGTTCCATCTCCTTAGTCATATCTCATACAAGTTAGTTGTCCCCTTTCTGATGCCTGTGCATTGTAGTACCCTCTTACTTCCTGGGGTCACACTTTGGTTAAGTGGTTACCCATGTATGCTGATGACACCTAAAGTTTTCTACCAAATGGAAGAAAAGTAACAGAATACTATACTTTGGCACCAAAAGTTCTAGATTTCAATTCCTGCTATGAATATATGCCCACTTTATTCTGAAGCCCGCCCCCCCCCATTATTAACTTTCTTCCATCTGTTACTGATGGCATTAATTATTGCCTGTCTTGGACCGATGCAATAGAACATAAGTGCCGTTTACTGTCAACAGCTGACAATATGAGTCATCACTGGGAGTAAGAATTGGACTGGGATGAAGTAAAAACACTACTAGAACAAACCAAGAATATTCATTCCTGACGCTGTTGGTCTACATAAGCCATCCCTGGGGTCTTCCATGTTATTGTTGTATAACTTGAGTTCCATGTCTTGTTATGCAAGATCAAGCTTATTTTTCATCAGCTATAACTACCTCTCTGCTTCTTCTGACTTGCCAGTGACCAAAGCTGATGACTGTTTCTGAAACCCTCTTCATCTGACTTGCCAATGTGGTTGGCCACAAGCTAGGGAGAAGAACTTGATTTCATGTCGTCTTATGACCTAGAGGTAGCAAAACTGTTTTTTTAGTTGATGATTAATACATACTCCCCCATGTCCAAAATTTCTAAGCCTGACAGAGGGAACTTCCAGCCCTGCAAAATTAAATTCTTTAAATTCCCCTCAGATGATGAAAGTGACTTCTTGATCCATTTTTGGCATGTTCCCTCCTACACTACTTGCCATGTGCTACTTTTGTAAAGCAGCCACCAATCACATTCACCTTAACTGTGTCATGTCCAATATACAAAAAACTTCATGGATGTATACTGAATCATTTTTAGTGATGCATCGCTATTCAAGAACCTTGTGAATGGAGCGTGTTTGTTCACGCTCCACAAACTACTAGTTTGTCTGGTCTATTTTAGTTTACACTCTCTCTTCTGTCTAAAAATCAGTCTAATTTTATTTTACTGTTTGGTACTTGAGGATGTATTTGTTTTATTACACTTGGGATAGATTTAAACTCTTGCAACCCAAGCTACACTTGCTTGTTGTAACTGCTCCCCATTTTCAGTAATTTTATATAGATATACTTGTGTCATACATTACTCTTGTAACAAACCCAAGTGAGAGGAGAGTAAATATGCATATGCAAATATATGCAATGTACCCTCTAAA